AGAAAATGTAAATATATTTCAGAATCTATAACGTACTAAATTTTTTTCCCGCTTGTCAAAAACACGATGCCTAGCAAAGGTTAAATTTTTTTCAATAAGTGCGTGCGACATTAATGACAACCATTTTCATGAATGTCCGCGACGCAGTTGATTGCAATAGTAGATAACGCGAGGAATCCTTTTTGGGTTCTATTTGTTTCCCCATCGAATTTAAATGAAATGTCTATATACAATGTTAAGTGGGCTTATATCTATTATCTGTTACCATTCACATTAATGTCATCTCGGTTGAATAGTACACAACATTCTAAACTAACAAAACAAAATCGATTAGGCCCTCATTTATATTGATGGACTTCAAAATTGCAATAGTCAATACCGTAAAATGGGAATTCCCCGAGGCGCATCATAAAGATTGTCCATTTCGTCTTAGGCGAAAAATTCAAGAGCGCGTTTCACAATTAAGATGTTGCGAAGATGCTGCATTTAATTTTTCATGCGTCAGAATATTATACCCATGCTCTGTTGTTATCAGGGCTATATAATAAGTATGTAAATAAGAAAATATTCATGTCAATGAGACAATAGATGCATTAAACACGCCCGAGAAACTGCAGAGAAATTACAAGATACCTACCATACAAATAAAAGAAGAACATGATTAAACAGATTTACATAAGTGTCTGAGACGCTAGGCTGAACTAGAACTAGTGACCTCTCATGTCGTTAACCTAATTAAACATTTATGTTTTTAAAAAGGAGAAAATAATAAAACAGATTACCAAGAACACGACAATTTTATTGTACATCATTCGTCGTATTTTATTGGACATGAAATGAAATATGTATTTTCGCCCACATAACTTTTATTTAAATTTAACATTAATCCAATATTAACGGATTATCGCACTAATAGTATCAAACAAACAGTTACCTTGAATTAAGCTTTTTTAATTATTTTATCACTAAAAATGATTTATTTTACAATACCAATTAAACAATTCACCTTGCATCAAGTTCTTTACATTATTATAATAGATCAGTAAAAATAGATTATTAATGCCATAAAGGATAGACTTTGTCGATTGAATGTATAAATTAATTGTTATTGTCGTTCAAACATACATTGTATAGTTTTTACGGAGGTACGCAAACGTGTAGAGATATGGAAACCGTGCTCCAATGGTCTGACCAGGATTTGCAGTCTCAAGAGAGTTTGATTCTGTGGTTCGATCGTTAATAAACCGAATTTGGTCCTCAATCCAAGCGTATTTTAGTTTTTTTTTTAATTGTCTACAATAAAATTTATAGTTCTTCGTTTGTCGAGTAATGTACTTAATGTACAGTAATCAGAAATAACTCATGTGACTGCAAACCGTGACACTGTCGTTAGTGAGAATTTTTGTGAAAATGGCTCTAATGAAGTTTATTTTGCAGGATAGTTTAGAAGTTGATCTTGAAGGAAAGTACGGTATTTGAATTCTGATTCCAGAAAACCGGTAGAAGAAGAAGTGACCTTCGAGCTGTCCCCATGCATCGCCTCCATGGAGAGGGACATCGCTGAGTTTTAGTGCGTATACCCTGCTATTTGACTAGCCCTAGTCTGGGGTGGGTCCGCAGGGGAGACCCTCCGCCGATTCCGCGCTAGGGGGGAGCGGGTATGCGTAACGCATTTCCCAGCGTCAAAAAAAAGCAGTTGAGGACATACATCTTAAACGTGCCTGCGATAATCATAAACTACATGAAGACAACAGAATTTTATTTACTAATTTTTCAAACTCACATCGACAATATTTTTGTGTAGACAAAACGTCATGCTGAGCGTGTAGCTGTAGAGATTCTCTTGTTTGTATATGGAGTTTATATGAAAGGTTAAAGTATGAAATTGCCATTTTTCTCTGACAAAGGAAAACTCTTTGCCTTCTATTCCTTTTAATTTTTCAAATCGAAGTTTTGATTTCGAGCGCTGTAATCAAAAATGCATCGTGCATTCTTCATTCACAATTACAGTATTGATCTGTAAATTTATTTAACAGCAATTTAATATTACAACTCTTATCATACAGTTATTGTAATCGAATCGCAACTTAGATTGCAAGTTTTTAATTTGACGAGAGCAAAAATAGTTTTTTTTTTCATACAATATAAAGAATGCGGAAATAGAAAATACTTACATTCAACATTTTACATTAGGTTTTCATTATAGATACATAAAATTTACATTTGTGGAAATATATCTAAGAATTTAATTCTTGCTTATTTGTACTATTTAGTATCAACTAAAAATATAAAAGAAATACCAGTATGTACAATTTATCGAACAGTCTACATATCATTTGAATTTGGCGCTGTTCTAAAAACAAATATTGTACAAAAAAGAGTTTCATACCTTTTATAGCAACTGGACAAACGATCCTCTGAACGAAGTTAAAAAAATGATTTAGGTTTCTTCATAATGATCGATTACTTCGTTAGTTATCTACCTACTTGAATAATCGGTAACATAGGTCAGAGCACCAGTAATATCTTCAATATTGTAGGGCGAAAATAAGTCAGTATTTTATTTAACAATTTTTAATTTAAGCCTGTGTGATATCTATTTAGAAGTGTACGAGTTGGGTGACATACAAACGAGTAGTAAAACTATTGTCCATCGAATAACAATATTTTCACTAGCATTCATGAAGCATTATTTTATAATTTTTAACAACATTAATTATTCGACTTAGTTTTCTTTAATTTAAAGATGTCCACTTGCTACGAAAGGTTGAAATAATTAGCTGTATACAATTACATATTTTATTACTTTTAATCTATAATATTAATTTCTTGCCGCCAATCCTTTTCAGTTTAAAAAAGTACCTATATAGGTGCCTCGTGGTTTAAAAAACTTTTGTACTCATAACAGCCCAATATTACATTCGCAAAATATTGTATTTGCAATATATTATATTTTCTAAATACACTAAGATCAATCAGAGCGAAAATTGATTCTAATTTGATGGAAAAAAAACATTCATAACATCACATACATTGATCTGACACCGTGTTATGTAGCTTATGCATTTGTCTTACAGAATTTAGAAACAACTTTAGAATTACAATAAAAAAAAGGATTAAATTAACTTAATTAAATTATATTTTTATAAAATATATCTAGTAAACATGCTAAATACATTAAATTTAACCAAAACAAATAAATAAACAAACCTATCGGGCAAGCTCATTAAAACCGTTTAAATTATGTATATATGCGAATATATCACGCACATACAGTGAACAAATACCTACAAATAATCATCACACAAATAACTGTCCCGGGTGGGAATCGGCCGACGACTTCCTTTTAACTAATGATTTTATATCACTCGGTATTAATCCTTGAAGATTTGCCTTACAATAATATGAGCATTAATATTGAAGTTTATAATAGATAAACTCTTTGCTAGTAGTTCCTAATTATAATGAAAAAGCTATGTTTGTATTAGCGTCAGTATTTATTCGTCGTATTCCATCGGTTTACATATATAAATTATGTGAAAAATGTTAATTGAGAGTAAATTCTGTATTCGGATAATAAATAAATATTAAAATGTCTGAAGATAGTGAAGTTAAATTTATAACAAGTTAAAAAGGCCAGTTTTCTTTTTCAAATAATTGTTACAAATATAACTTTTTTATAAAAAAATAAAATGGTATAACCAACTGGAGATGTTGCAACCAGAGGGAGTGCAAAACTTCGATTACATTAAGTTCAGATAAGAATGTCGTCATACCGCCCAAACATAGTTGCAGCATTGACTTTGAAAGAAATATAATTGATATGGCTATGGAAGAATGCAAAAAAGAAGTGTGCGAAAATTTTGAACCAATTCCAAAAATATTTGAAACTTCTTGGGAAAACATAATTTTCAAAATAAAGAGTATCTGTGCCCATCATTTGCGCCAAACAAAGATACGCTGTACAGGAAACGAAATAAATTTTTGATTGTCGGTACATCAAAGCTACAACTAATGTGATATTGCCACACCACATTGTACAAGACTTTTTTTCATTTCATGACTATGATGATGAAACGCATGATAGAATCACTGCTTCCATGTTACCTGCACAAAAGCTACGAGAATTATGACAAACGTATGATATTGACACTGTCACCTTATTATCAATTGTATACTGCATATTGATATTGCACGAGACCAAATAATATTATTTTGAACTTATCGTATTGTGAAAAAACCGCACTACGAATGCAATGGACGAATTGCACAGAAGTATTAACTCCCGAATTCCAATTTTTAGTAGCATTAAAAGTAAAACTAAAATTTTATAAAGTAAAATATTGCTAAAAGCGCTTTTCACTTGCCTGATCAAAAAAAATCTTCAAAATATTTCGAAAATGATAGAAATAATCTTGCATTATCATTTATCACAGACTGTTCATCCAACAATAGAATGCTAACTATGCCACTTGTGGAGACTTGTCGGATCTTGATCACTCGGGATTGGTTTAGTTTCCATTATTACCAAACTTATTTTGATATACATATACAAATAATCTGACAATACTGTATGATACTGCAATTATTTTTTTATTTTAATATTGTATGACGTTAGAAAGTGCTTCCATGATGCGTATTTGAATAAAGAGATATTGATTTAAATAAATTCATTTTTATTTTTTACTGTGTTTAATTGTACTTCTAATAATTTGAGAATATAATATTTTGCTTATGTACGATTATGAGTACAAAGGTTCAAAAAAACACACGCTACTCCGTATTTGGCAAACTATTGACGTACTTTTCCACGAAACATTAAATAAGTTGGTCATTTAATTTAAAAAGAGAGATCATTTGATCTTTCTAAAAAAATTGCAGTGGCACATGCTAGGCTGTCATCTTATACAGATTATATGCGTTGCCATTAAATTTTTCTTTAAAAGAAACTTTATCATTAATGCAATGGGATCTAATCCTATGTTAAAATAACTTATAAATTAGCGTCCTTCGGTGGTGACTCTTCTGCGGGCGGTACTCCGGCGGCAGACATCTTGCGGCGTTCGTTGCGCGCACGCGACACTGGCCGATAGTACTGCTCGCTGCGTCGTCGTCAGCGTTCGGGCGTTGGCGCTTCCGATTCTAGCTCCATCCATAATGAACTGATCACACGCGCCTCTGTACACAATTAAATTAAATGTACACAATTAAATACCCTTCTGTTATCAACTCATATGTATAACGCGCAGTGGTTAGCGCGTTTAGTACGGTTGTTCTGCAAGGTCCGGTTATAGGATGTGTGATAAAAAATTTATTGCTCGCGAGCTCCTATGTGCTTGGTAAGCAGGTTAAGTTGTCGGTCCCGGCTAAATCAGGGGACGTTAACACCCACCAATACACACTGGGCCCGCGTAGTGGGTCATGCCCCATTCTCCCTATCCGATTCTATATATGAGAGAAGTCCTAAACCCTAGTGATGATAACGATGATGCAGATATAGATATTTATTTATTTGTAGGTCACGTCTTATTTATACAGAAAAGCAAGAAAATCTAGAAATGAATATTAATAAGTTATAATATATTGCATATTTCAGTCGTGTGCCTTCGGCTTGATCTTTCAGAGATAAGGTGTGTTGCCATGTGACAATCGGTTTTATTTACAATCTTATTAGGTTGCTTATCATACAAAAGCGAATTCTTGGCATTTGGTACTTTTTTTAGCATTCTGTTCGATATCAAAAATTATAACATCATTATTACATTACCTATATACATTATGCAGATAATTTTCTTTCTAATGAATTTATTTGAGTGAAATATTTTTTCTTCTTACGACTCAAATAAATACATATTCTTGTTTTTCATTCGATAACGGTTTCAACGATATATTGACAAGTGCTTTCATTAAGCACATGTCAATCTCATGAAATTGAATATTCGTACAGTAAGTACTTGTTTAACATTCGAGAATATTAATTTGGCATTTTATTCAACAAACAAGTATGTACTGACTTACAATGAAACAAGTTTTTTATGATCGATAGATGTTTCTATTTTCTTTTTTCAAAAGAAACAAACCATTATTATCGTTCTTAAAAAATTCTATATTGGAACAATTTCCTGCTTAGATTTCGTAAATCATTTTCTTTGTTTGCATTTTCATTAAAAGGAAATGCAGTAAACATGCAATAAACATTTTCTTTTAATAAGTTTAATGATCTGTAGAATTCTCATTTTTCAGAGTGCTGCTAATATTAAAAATGGATTAACGATTGCACTCCAAAAGAAAATAAAATGTTTTATCGCGTTGCTTCGAATGGATCAGATTTATTGATAATGGCAATGTTTCATCGACCCATCTTCTTTGATTGTATATTGCATATTAAACTATTTTGTCTCATATAGGTGTACCAAACTCTGATGGAAAATCGGGAAATTTTAACTTGTAGAATGCATATTGGGGAAAAGGTGTGAAGACGTCTTAATACTTGTAATATTTAACATTTCTTTGTTAAAATATCAATTATTGTATTTATAAATAATTCCAATTGACCTACAGTTTAATATTTGTATCTGTGTTGATTATAACTTTTTAATGAATGTTGTTGTAAGGATCATACTAAAAGTTTTTTTATAAAATAAAAAAACTGAAAGTTGTGGAATTGTAGAAATCTGCTGATATTGCTTTTCGAAATATCTGTCTCTGTTACTTTCTAGGCACCGTCACATGTGCCATCATTGACTGCAGGCATTGTGAAATCATTGACTGCAGGCATGGACCTACTTTTCTTTATGGATCTATTACACGTGTTTTTCAAACGTAGCAACGGTATCTACTAGGTTCATAAACAATAAACCCTTTGGCAAAAAGTATACTTAATAGAATTTAATTAATATATGTAATCTTATGGAGGTGGCATACTCACTACGTGACTAAACTCTATTAGAGAAAAGAAACATAAACTCTTTTATTTCATTTATAATATAATGTTTTAATAGTGCCATTCTCGCCCTGTACGATATTTAGAATATTAATTATTATATAGCGATAGGGGGACACAGTTTTAAATAAATTGAATCAGAAATTATACTTAACGGTGTGTACAAAAAAATTAATGCCCCTAGAACCGCCCAAACATTCAAAGGGCTAAGCTATTATTTCGTTCAGTGTTTTTATGGTGCCCTAACGGTTGCCCACTCTAGAACCTACAGTGTATCGAAGAAATAGACGACAAAAGATATCGTAACACATGCCTGCTAATTATAAAGCCGATCCTTCTTGCAGTCGATATTTCGCACATGAGCGATTCTATTGAAAAAGCATCTCACTTGTAATCCTTTTGAAGAGCAACGTGTGATCACTCACTGTGAAACCTAATTGCTGTGTTGGAGCGGGCACATTTTGTAGAATGTGAATATTGTGATGTAATCGTTTACCTAACCACACAAAAAATATAAAGATTAAAAAGTGAAAGACTTCCTCTGTGAATGTAAGCCGTTACATAAATTTTCAACAAAAATATTAGTACTCGATTACGGCACGGGCACGGGATTAAAGAAACCGAACAGACACATTTTCATACAATCGTGCTGCTATAGGTATCTAATAAAAACGAATTTACTAATATTGTGGAGTCAAGTTATTATTTATTATAAGGGTTTCAAGTGATTATATTATATTATATTTGTTGTGGTAAAGAAGATATACGAAAGAAGGTATAAATATATTTACGAAACATCTCAATCAAGATTGCCTCGAAAATTTCTTCCAATATTTCGACAACTTACTTAGTTAAAACGTATTTCGTTCAATAAAATGTTTATAATCAATATTTTGAAAGCACCCAAATACTTGACTAACGGTCGGTTTCAATAACTTACTATATCCGTAACTGGAGATTTGACAGTATATCTGTCACTGTCTTTTACATTGTAAACAACAAAGACAGGTATACTTTAAATCTCCAGTTACGGATATAGTAAGTTATTGAAACCGGCAGTTAATGACTAAGAAGAATACGGTTGATACTCAGAACAGAAAGAACGGAAACCTCTTCAAAAGGCAATAAAAAAAATTCCGGCCATAGTTTTTACATACTTAACTTTTTATTTTCTATAAATATTGAATTGTGGCTAACTTATATTACGGAAAATTACATATCAGCGGATAAAAAACAAATCAAGCGGGAAAAACGCCGTGCACGGAGGCGTTCAAAGTAGAATAATAGCCCGGACATTGAAAAACACGAATAAAAAAAGTCTAAACGTAAAACGGTTGGCAATGAAAAGGATGGCTACATTTATAATTCAGATTTCATTAGTTCACTCGATAACTTAGTTCTTTATCGTTGTATATATATTAGTTTAGAACATCGAATGATAAATATATCTTTATCATTCCTCTGACTTAAAAAAAAATCTACATTTTTAATAGGAAGACTAGCATTTTTATTCTTTATCAGATAAGTAATAATAAACGTGAAAGAGAAAATCATTTTCGAATTTGAAGCTAAAAGAAGTCAAAGTTTATCACCGGGAAATTAACGTGTTAGCTAGGGACATACATGTGATTTTATTTAAGTATTTTCAGTTGATTTCATCAATAGAAATTATTATCATTTTATTCGTAAAAATTAGTGAGAATGAGTTAAAATCAAAGACAAAATACAATTAATGTTTCTTTAATGTATATTAATTGTTATATTTGAGTAAATATTTGGTTAAGCGGTAGTTATCGTGGAGTTATATTATTTTATAATAAGATTCGTTAATATTTATGGTTTATTATATAATAATTATTATAAACAATGTTATAAAGTTAATAATTTCATTAAAGTATAGAGTCCCTTGAAGTCTATTTTCTCTTAGCTTGAAGTAGTCGTTGACTACCTAATAACTGAGTTGATAACGTTCTTGCTAAATTAATATAACATATAAGCTAACGACATTAGTCGTTATTATATTACTTTCCTATACGGTTCGTTGAATTTTACGTTTTGTTTAATAAATTATATTAAAAAGATATATTAAATATATTCTTACGACACAAGGCGTCACCTGTTATGGTCAATTGAAAAGAGTTAGTTTGGAACAAATTTTAAAATTTAAGGAATGGAAGATGGGAGAGTGCTTTAAGAAAGTCTTAAGAATATATGAAGGATATAAAACATCGAAAACTTTTATTAAAATTTATATTTATAACTAAAACAAATAGAGGATTGATTTTGAGCATTGCTCTTCGGTCGAGGAGACTAACAGTAAAAAGTTGATAAGTACCTTTCAATTCATTATACTTTGCTTATTTTATAGCTTAGCGATTGTAATCGTTACCTTAGCTATATATGTGATTTTTGGACCAACAATGTATTTATGTTATTAGACCCTAACCTAATATTTGAATTGCATACGGAATTATATCTATTTACCTTATTAATTTGTTTTCTTTTTATATCGTATTGAGTTTACGCTTCGTTATTTTTAGACTATTAACTAGTCTAAAAATAACGAAGTAAAATATCTTATCATCACTCAATTTAAATTGAACCGTTTAAGAGTAAAATCTAACAAACGCAGAGGTCTTGAAAAGTGGTTAGCTAGTATCTTACCTAAGCTTAAGCCAAAGTCGGCAATCGTTTTGGATAATGCACCATACCACTCGAGGAAAAGACAATTCCGATAATAACAATAATCAAATCACAAATAAAAAGAGTGGTTTAGAAACAAAAATATTCTTTCAAAAGAAGACATGGTAAAGTCACTTTTATAAATATGTATTACAAACAATAACAAATACGCCATGGACGATATGGCAGCACAATATAGTGTCACTGTTTTAGGACTGCCCCCTTACTATTGTGAGTTGAATCCTATAGAGCTCCATCAGATAAGTAGCAATAAAAGTGAAAGGTAAGAACATTTTCGCCGTGAGGAAAATTCTTAAAGTTAATATTAAACAGATCAATTATGTGATGTAAAGAACCTTGACGGTCTACATTGATTTATATTAAACACGTAGGCGTGTTGTTCATGGTCATTACATCTTAAGGTTCATTTTTCCTTGTAAGAAAAACTATTCAAGTAGACTATTGACGTAACAATAAGAAAAATCAATGAATCAGACAAGTTACTTATGTCAAAAAATATTTTATGTAGGATAATATGAATTAAATAAAAATTATCAATTTCATGTTTTATGCTGCCATCTTTTTAAGTAAGTAATCTAGTTAAGTCCTCAGACTGATTTTTTTCTAGGTACAGCCTCACTCCTCACTCGAACACTTGAAACGTATGACTAGGTTATCATTATCATCATTGGAGTGCCGTCGTGAACGAAGTTACTTTATTCACTTACACAAAATGGTCTCCACTAACACCACTAAATTAAATAGTGTAAAATGACACTGGATCATCGTATAATTCGAGGTTGTTTACTTCATTAATTCAAACTGCATCAACTATTGTCGAATTATATGCAAATATATACGTCATGTTCGAGGTAAATGCTGTAATGATTATATAAGGTCTTGTGAATTTCCGTTTTCATGTATCGTATTAACTATTTATTATTCAATGTTTTCTTAATTCATTAAATCAAACTCATGTGTGATGACATAAATAATAGGATTTAAAGTATGAAATTGCCGATTTGTACTGAAAATCAAAAATTATTATTTTTTAATTTTTAACTAATTTATTTGATCAAAATAGTTACCATTGTTATCTATACATTGCTGCCATCATTTATGCCTTTGCGATAGAACTCTAAGGGTCTAGACTGCCCAAACTGTGTAAAAGCATTTTGTACTGCCTCCTGGGAGGAAAACTTCTGGTCACGTAGATAATTGTCCAAATCACGAAAAAAAAATAGTAGTCCGTTGGAGCAAGGTCTGGCGAAAACGGAGGATGATGAATGGTTTTTAACTGCAGTTTCTGAAGGATCAAAACGGTTTCTCGTGCTGTATGAGGTCTCGCGTTGTCATGGAGCAATAATGGTGAAAATCGATTCAGGAGTCGGGGCTGTTTACTGCTAGTTTTGGCAACATTGTTCTGAGTTCGACACAATAGACATCTGCCGTTATTGCTTGACCAGATCGGAGAAAACTATAGTGAATAACACCATGCTGAGACCACCAAACAATTACCATTACCTTTTTATTGGCAAGTTTTGCTTTAACTAACTGTTGTGGATTTTGACCTGGGGTCAGCCATTTCAGTTTTCTTTTAGGGTTATCATAAAGAATCCACTTTTCATCAAGATTCAACAAGGCAACACAAGTTTCAACACGCGTTTCTTTCTCATCAGATCAGTCAAATCATGAGGCACCCATTTTTCGTATTTTTTATTTTATTGATTTAACGCAAATGAGTCACTATTGTGGATAAGGTAAGGTTAAACCATGCCGCTAATTCGTGGGTAGTTCGACTAGGATCAGCTTCCACCATCTCTTTTAATTCATCGTTATTCACCTGTGTGGGCGGTCTTCCTCGTGGCTCGTTCTCCAAGACGAAGTTTCAATCACGAAAGCGTTTAAAAAAAATCGCAATTTCGTTCATTAGCAGACCCCTCTCTAAACGCTATATTGATATTGCGGGCTGTTTTTGCCGCGTTAAATCTGCGTCGGAACTCGTATTCAAATATCACTCGAATTTTCGCAGTATCTATCTTTCTTATTTAAGTTGAATAACAAAAACAATTGTAACTCGATTTTCAAATGTTTCACATTTTTTAAAAGAACCTATTACAATAAAACGGCAAAATCATACTTTAACCCCTAATATTATAAACAACACAATTAAACACATATACGTTATGGGCGATATGGCAGCACAATATGGGGTACGTATGTTAACTGTTTTAAGACTACTCCTTACAATTGTCAGATAAATTCCTTAGAGCTGGTTTGGGCGCAAGTGAAAAAATAATAAGTTAAAAGTGAATGAAGCGAAATCATTATTCCAAGAAGGGCTAAATAATAACACCATCTTAGTGGAATGATTCGGGATTCCAATCTCGGAATACCGAGATCTCGGTATTGCGGGACCCCGCATTTTTTTTCATCCCGTATTGCGAGATTACATGTACGGGAACCGCGGGATTGTACATTCGTTAATTATGAGCTGAATTGAAATTGAATTAAACGATTTTCTTAGTATGTCTTTATTAATATTTCGTATAAAATAGTAACACACGAACATTTTTATCGCAAAAATTCACAAAAAGAAAATTCAAATTTAATTTTTTCAATATGAGTTTCTGTAGAATTTCACATGTTAATGGGTAATATTCAGTAATATTAGTTATCCAAGACTGTAATCTGTTGTGTTGTAAATAAATCAACAGTTTTGTAGGTGATGCAATTTCTACTAACAGATTTGTGACCATGTAATTAATCAGGCCACAGGGCACACGACTCTCACCACGCGAAAACCACGTTAGTATCGCATATTGCTCTATGTCACGGTTAGGAATTGCTGCATCATTCTATTCCGTATGGTCCAAGTTGTGTACAAATGGACGACATTGTTTCCAACGCTGATAAGGGCGAACCAATTAAAACGCCGTCTTGTTTTAAATTTTAGTAGTCGCTGGCCAGTCGTACGTTTTCCAAAACACATATTGTAAACGTCTCCAAGTTAATATCTTAACACGATAATAACGTAGTTTGGAAGGAAGAATTCGATAAGTGGGATAAGTTATCTCACCCGGTTTGTTGTCAGCCTCTGAATGAAGCGGAGCCTCCGTAGCTTCTTCTATGCAGCTCTGCTCATCGGGAAACTGTACATGTTTTTTTATACCCGTGCGACTCGGCTTGGACAGAACGGATGCTAAAAAAAAAAATTATGCTCAAACAAATTGTTTTGAGTATATTTATTTATAAGTCATTTTTTCTAGAGAAACAAAAATGGTGTGAATGAATGTGTCAAAAGTTAAAATAATATCAAATTATTATTAAATGCGTAACAATAGTAGTTCGATGTATACAAAATTTATAATTTACTGCACATTTGTGGTTTTTCATCTTTATATATTTACTTATTATCGAAAGGGAAATTCTTAAAACCCCGTGATGTCATAAAAATATTGATTAACTGAGTATGTCACGTAAAATGAGACTAAAGTTTTTGTGTCGCAATTAAACGATAAAATTCCATTCCACGTTATCTCCATATGTTATTTAGAATTTACAAACATATATCTGCAATCTTGGCTGAATGAAGCCCCTATGTCACGGCATCCGGCAAAAACTTTTTAACTCTTTTTTTTAAACTCATTAAATTTTTTATTCAATACTATTATAACTATTAGAATTACAAATAAATTTTCCACATAAAACAATATAATTAAAACAAGAATTGCAAAAAAATTATATATAAAATTTTGTCACATTTCAATTGTGACAGAACTCCTACAAATATGTTATCTGATTTTAAAGTAGGCATAGCCTATTTGTACTTTACATTATACGGGTTCCATTAATAACATACTTATAGCTTTACTCGGTGCCTCAGAAAACTCCTCTGGGTCATGGCGGCTCGGCATGGGTTTGGCAGCGGATCTTCGGCGGCCGCTTGCCAAAGAACTTGTAGTGGTCGTGTGCGGACCAGTAGCTGTGTATTGTACCGTAGCCAACTAAAACAAAAATTGCATGACATGAATAATTATTATAAAGAAAACACAGTTTGAAATTTGTCATCTCGCTTTTTCTTTCAAAAATATATGAATAGGTGTGCATTACTTTAGGTTTACGTTGATAAAAATGAGCAGGAATTACAGCCGTAGATTGACATGCAACTGGTAATTTTACCATAATTTTGCCATGTTGTTTTCTTTTAAAATGCGCACACCTTCAAAGTGATAATAAAAACACGTATGTATATAATGATGTAAAGAACTTGCTAGCAAATGCTGGCATTACTATAATAATAATACTCAAGTAACCAAACAACAAAATTAGTTTAGCTAAAAAGGCAGTGAAAAGAAATTGTTGATATTTTCCTACGTTATTTGCAAAAATTTAAAAGATCCTTTTATAAGGGGTAATTAAATAGTATAGAAATATTAAGAAAAAGTTGTAATGGTGATATATGGTAACCGGAAATTCATCAAACATGATTTCAGAATGACGACCATTCGTTTTGAAAATAGTGATGATGTAATTGATGCAATATAATTTAAGCGACCACAACATGAAACGCCATAGGATTAAATAATTATGTAATTACTATAATAGACCAGAATACGTTCTAAAATTTAACTATGCCCAGTAAATACTATAAAAAATCAATTGTGTGCAACAGTACATTTTATAAACTTGTTATTCAGAAATTAAGTAAGCCCATAATATCCTTTTCAATGCAGTTGCTCATAAAGCGCTATTTTTTTAATCCATTGTAAACACCGAAAGTGAGTCTTTAAACACGTGTTAAATAAAAATGTACTGAAATCCTTTACTGCACACGTGCTTAAAAGTATTTTTTTAATATTTTTTGGCCGAGCACCGAAGAAATTTAAAAAAAATTGATGAAAATATGTCAAACTTTAGAGGCAAAAGTATTTCAAGGAGCCTAGAACGAATATTTTCAAATAAAAATGTATGACACGAAAACATGTTCAAATATCACGTTTAATTTTAACAAATAATTTTTACCTTTAATACATACTTAGTTTTATTAACCTATATATTTGTTTTATTTCCTCGCAAAAAGCATTGAAAAATGTTGTAAGAAACTTGAGCGTAAAAGGTTTTTCGAGAATGACACGAAAACATGTTCAAATATCACGTTTAATTTTAACAAATAATTTTTACCTTTAATACATACTTAGTTTAATTACCTATATATTTGTGTTATTTCCTCGTAAAAAGCATTGAAAAATGTTGTAAGAAATTTGAGCGTAAAAGGTTTTTCGAATTCGTGCCTCGCTACGCTCGTGTTTTCAATTTGGCCCTTATTCGTAAAACCTTACTTTCCGCACTCGTATCTTAAATAACTATTATTGGTTAAAAATGCATCTAACTTTTTAAAGAATAATTCGCAAACTTGTTTTGTTATACGGAATATTGTTACATTTTTGGAACCATACCAAATAAACTAATTGCAAAGTGCGCGGTTTTGTGTTTACATATTCGGTTACCGTGTCCTCATCTGTAACTCTTTTGTTGATTCTTCTCTGGGATAGATTGGAAAGAAACAGGATTTTGCCTATTGTATAGGCATGGTAGTATAAGTATTTAAGCTGCTTGAAAACTAGTTTACAACTATCAGTAAATTTTAAACCTTTAATGCCCTTATACACATCTTTACGATAAGTCGTTACAACAGCTTTGGTGTTTGCTACCTTTGATAGTCTGTACAGAGCGTAGACAGAGCTAGCTAACTTCTCATGTAGTACCTCGGTATGACATTTCCAGTTAAATTGTTAGTCAATTTGGATGTCCTGAAATTTTATATTGCTCACAGAAAAAAATTCATTCCCATCAATTTCAATCTTAATTTCTGATAAAGGCAAATTTTGTCTTAAGTGCATGAGTTTCGTTTACTTCTAAGAATCAAACGATTTATAACCAACCACGCATTAAGCCGTTATTGCGTTATTTTCATCTCCCTCATGTGATTGCATTCGTACATTTAATTACAGCTATGCTGTCATCAGCGAAGAAAATCATCGGATAGTCAACAGACGTGGGATCGGCATTTATATGTTGTAAGAAGTAAATAGCCTAATATTCTGCCTTGTAGTACACCTATCTATTACAGTATTTTGTTTTTACTCTAGAGTTTTTACATAATTTTGTCACTGCAGTGTACTGTTTTCTATTAACGAGATATGGTTCTATTAAATTGCGAGCAACACCCCTAACACCGAGTGAATAAAGTTTCTGTAGGAGTAATTTATTATCAACGTGATCAAGTGCTTTTGACACATCCTTTGTTTGCTATTCAAATTCTATATGCGAAAATACGATGGCAAATGGATTTTTATAGTTAGCATTAAAGTATTCATTCAGAGTTAATTTCAATCATATAAAAAAGTTTTAGCTTCTTTCGCAAAAGTTATTTAGTTCTCATCATCATGTGACAGATATTTGTAAAAACAGTGAATACCTATAACTACACGAAACAGAAATTATATTAATTTATTCCTTAAAAACACATTTCCAAAAGCCTCTGCGTGACAAATTCGCTCAAAAAGGAAAAGTTTCATAAATGCATTTTATTTCTATGAATTTTCTAAGGTTTCCGGTCGGTGGCTTTCTCATTACGTTAATATCGTCGTAACAACCAAGAAGATAAGACGAAAATTCGTCGAAAACGAAAAATCTCTTGATACGAACCGCAATAAATACGGGAACGCTTAATTCTCAGTATTTCCAGAAGCATTGTTGCATGTGTTCGAGATAGGGGAGGAGTTGTCGTATGCTAATCAAATTTCATAAAAACATGTAGTTTTTTGTTACATTCTCTTTTTCTTTCAATTATATTCTAGGACAATTAAAAAATAATAATTATATAATTTTTCTCTGGACACCGCCAAATATTGTTATATTATTCCATTTTGTACCTTGGCAATAGATATAGTGGTCACCATTGCCATTATAGATTATATTAAATATTTTTCGCCTTTAGAGACCATAGCACGTCCATGGAATACTCTCAAAGGGGCATTAGCGCCTGAGCTTTTAGTCCTGTGAGAATTCAGAAAAAATAAAATAGTAGGCTAACCGAAGGAAAAAGCTGTGAAAAGAAGTGGTTAACAGACCAGTAAGTAATAGTTATTTATACTAACTGCATTTCAGTATTGATTATTATAGTCTCTATTTTCTTTTATTTGAATTACATTACAACATAAGGTTTGTTATATTTACGTCTATTTGACCTTATTTTATGGCTTAAAGCACTTTCGCAACTGTCATATATATATATATATATGTCATATATATATATATTAAGTGAAAACCTAAATTCCTCTAGTTTATTACTATATGTATACGATAGTCGTTGTAAATTAATCGCCAGCTAGACGAGTCAGTACCTAAGATTTATCAATAATGGAGAATATGTGTATAATACCACTCTAAACTTATTTTGCCGCAGACGTTTATTTAGACCAACAAATACTAGGTAGGTGCTTTTAAATTTTATAACGCTTGTATATGTAATAGTCTAGCGTTATAATGTAGCAGTATTTAATAGTCTAGCGTTGATTTAATTTGGAGCACTCACCCTGTCCGAATAGTCGAAAGCGGCCGTCCCTCGGCCTTCGAGATATTCTTGAAACTGTGAAATTACGCACACCATTGCGTATATCTGTGGACAAATAATTATTTAACGTATGATTCCTCTTTGTATTGTATAAAAGAGAAATTTTATGTTATAGTTATGTGGCATATAGGCTATATTTAAAAGGGACACCTATATAAGTTGTACTCGTATGTTACATACAGCCATTTTTTTCTATTTATTTAGGTAAGACGAACAGTGACAAAATACAATGTATTATACACAAACATTACAAAAAAACAGTATATATCACAATGATTTAAGAGAACAGATTAAGTTAGAAAGAGATTGCGGTTGAAGAGTTGAAATAAAAAAAAAAGAGTCGTATGATTAATTTCATTAAATATCAAAACTCAAAGCACTTGCCTGTATCATTTATAAAGAGCATGAATAAGAATGGCATGGAAATTTGAAAACAATCTGACTCGCAACCACCGATTACAACCACCTGTTTGCGATATTTATATATGACAAATCCCCGTGAATACCATTAAAGGCTCATTTCAACAGTATTTTGTGAACTGGTACCCTGTCAAAAGCCTTTCAAAAATCCGTATAAACGCTATTTGTTTATAAGCATCAATTTTAATCCCTTGTGTTGTCTGTTTGAATTGAACCAGCGTCCTTTCCTTACAATTTTCTTTTTGTACAACTAACTTCTCGACGCGACGTCTCAGGATTTCGGCAAACAAACATCCACGACTCTGATAATTCCGACATGGCCTGGATATGTGGCCGAAACGCTCTCTCTGGGCCATGTTCCTCTTGGTAAAATTCCATCCACCACCAAGACTAAATCGTTGACTGCCATATTTGGTATAGGGACCGGTTCTTTGTTGTTTCGAGAAGCTAAATCTTCCTGTAACCACCTTCTCCAAACGTAAAGCTTTCTTTCAAGTTGAGCGACTGACCAAATCTCGGTATTCTAAATAAGCAGGATAGGTGCGACCCATTAACAATCCAATGAGAAAATGGAAAGACATGTCCTTCACAAATGGATCTTCAGCATCTAGTTTACAGGGGATCTATGTGAGTAGACAGGAGTTCACCAAAAGGAGGGTGGCAAGAACGGCGTACTCTGCATGAGGATTACTCGAAGTGTTGTCATTAAAATTTTACCATTCGCTGCCAAATTCGCTCATCAACTCTTTTAATGAGAGACGATGGTATAAGTTTCCGGTGGATCTTCTCATTCACGACAAAATCTATAAAGATTTGATTGTTTGTTTATTTGCAACGAATTGACTCCGAAACTATCGGACTGATTTTAAAATTCTTTCACCCACAGGAAGCTACATGATATGTGGTGAATATAGGCTATATTTTTACCCGAAAAATAGCAAATAAAGGGATAAAAATAAGCGTGGAAATTTGTAAAGGGAATTAAAATGTGACCATTGTTTACTTTTAAATATCTCATTATAATTATATCCGTGTCATGATATGTATCGATATCCAAATAAAAAATTTCTAATGGTCCAGGCGAGCGAAGCCGGCGGCGGAAAGCTAGTCCCTATATAAAGATATCATTAACTCTTTATTAGCGCCAAAAAGGGCGGTGCCATTATCAGAAATGATTTCGCACGATATATCCCAATGTGCTATAAAACAACGCAGACATATAAGATAATAATAATAACAAACTACAATTATTATCTGAAATGGTTAATTAGTACACATTTATATCTAGATAAAGAGTTCAACAAAATAGTATAAAGCAAGGAAGCATTAGAACAATGGTTTACCACGGGGCAGGTTATTTTTTAAGCAGGTTAATCCCAAAAAATGAAAATACAGATGATGCAATAAGTTGGAGACCAATAGCATGCTTACCTAGTATATATAAACTTTTAACATCTATATTAGCAAATCAACTGTACCACCATTGTCAGGAGAACAGCATTATCGCTGTTGAACACAGAGGGTGTAGACGTCATGCTAGGGGGTGTAAAGATCAATAAGGCAATTTTAGAATACGTACACCAGTCGTTCAACAAAACATTTGAGTATGGTGTGGATGGATTATCAAAAGGCATTTGATAGTGTATCCCACGAATGGATTATGAAAATACTTGATAACTACAGATGTCCGTCAATAATAAAATCTTTTTTTGAAATTGCTATGCCTACGTGGAGAGTGATCATGACAGCTCGTGGATCTCACGAATCGTTAATCGAGCCAATTTCGATAAAAAGAGGCACATTTCAAGAAGACTCTATTTCACCATTGTTGTTCTGTCTGGCAATTAATCCCATGTCATTTATTCTCAATAAATATAAACAAAAAGGATACAAACTTAAGGATAGCTTCTGGATAAATCATTTATTGTATATGGATGATTTAAAAATATATGCAAACAATTGTAGTAGCTTAATAGTAATGCTGGATAGTGTTGAGATATTCACAAATGATATTATTTTGGATTAAATAAATGCAATACATTACATATTAAGTCAGGGCATAGAAATAATACAATAAGAGAAGGACATGTACTACTTAATGGAGAATCAATTGAAGAATTAGGAATAGATAAAAAATATAAATATTTAGGAGTACATGAATCCGGCAAAAAAGACCATAATCAGATTAGAGAACAGATCACTAAAGAGTATTTTAAAAGAAAAAAGAAATTACTAATTACACATTTAAGCTCACGTTATATTATAAAAGGAAGAAATACATATGCAATACCAGTTTTATTTTATTCTTTTAGAATAATAAACTACAAAGCTTCTGATCTAAAGAAAATAGATATAAAAACTAGGAAAAATTAAGCAATAAATAAAGCTCAACATCAAAAAGCAGATATTGAAAGATTATATTTACCAATAGCAGAAGGGGGAAGAGGATTATTAAACGTAGAGAATATGTATAAGGTATAAATACTTAAACATAAACAATATTTAGATAACGAAAATGATCATCTAATTAAAACAATAGTTCAACACGATCGAAATAAGAATAAATACTCAATTCAAAAGGAAGCAACAGAAATAGAAACGGAATTACAACTAACACAAGGTAATATACATTTAGACAAAGAAATTAAAAAAGCAACAAATACCACCTTTAACTGAAGCAACGATATTTGCGATACAGGACCAAGCTATTATGACGCGCCAACACCAACGCGACATTTTAAAAGAACCGATAGACGGTAAATGTCGTCTATGCGTCAACAAAGACGAGACCGCACAGCACATATCAGGATGTGAAAAGTTGGCTAATACATACTATGTCAGATGACATAATAACCTGGTTCAGTATGTGTATTGGTGCCTGGCAATAAAACACAATATTGCAGTATCAAATCAGTGGTGGAAAGAACCTCTCACACAACCGCAAATAAAATAAACAGAAACAACTAAAATCATGTGAGAAATACCTGTTCAAACTGATATAATAGTCATGCATAATAGACCGGATATAATTTATATAGATAAAACAAACAATCGCACTTATCTCATAGATATATCAATACCATCCGATTATAATGTAGGAGCCAAAGAAATAGAAAAATTGAGCAAGTACCACCTTTTAAAAACCGAAATTAGTCGTCTCAGGAATACTCAAACCACAGTGATCCCAATAGTAGTAGGAGCCACAGGAGTAGTCAGTAAAGCCATAAAAAATATATAGAACAAATTAATGCAAAAGTAGATATAACCACACTACAGAAACAAGCAGTCATCCACACTACCACCATACTTAGTAAAGTATTAGGCAACAATACATTCATCAATAATGCAACAAACACACAAGAATCATCCGTCACATGCACACAACCTTCGTCCATCACCCAACAGTTACTACACACACAGTCCTCATCAGACATGAGGCGTAGACATCGACCACGCAATACACGTCTACAACACATAGACACATAAATAAAGGGAAATAGATATCTTTTTTACTGTGGGTAACGAGACGAGATATCTGTCTGTAACCGATTGATTAATAATCGAGTGTCAAGGGAAATAATAATAATTTTATTTCTAATAACAGTACAATATTCTTTGTGCCCTGTCTCCCATACTAGTTTGAACTGTATTATGGGAGCCAGTCTAGCCTTCCTAATTACTATAACAATTCAACATTGGAAGTGGCGTTCCAGAATAATAAATACAGAAAGCTATAATAAACATAAGTTAGCCAAAATGTTTTGAAGATGCGGATAAAGTGTGTACTGCATCTAAATTAACCTACCTAGGCAAGTCAGTATGGCTATGTAACCCTTCTTTTGTCTACGACCGACAGTAACCATCCGGGATCCGAAGTAGTCTAAGCCCAAATAAAAAAATGAACGTTGATGGTGCGATGATCACCAGTAGAAGGACAAAGTGGCTTGACTTTTGGTATACTAGAAAATCTCGTTTATTAGATAAAAAGTTTGCTTAAATTTGTTGATTTGTGAACGCAACCTTAATGAGTTCTTTTTCTCTGTGGGTGGTGGCGCTGTTGTCACTTCCCCTTTTGCTTTCCGACATCTTGTTTCGTTTTGTGTAATCCGGTGCTCGAATAAATAATTTCTCACTAAGCTACACGTTTTTCACTGCTAATCTCTACATGGTAGCAGAGCGTGGTTGCAATAGTCGCTAATACAAATAATCGTGCAATATTAAGCAGTATTTATCGATTTTGTGGTGCACGTGTTCCGGAACAAAAGTAAGGTTATCAAGTAACTGGCCGGCGAAATTTATTATTCCTAAAATGAGTTCGTCGCATCAAATGTTTAATATCGATAAATTGATTGGGCGTGAAAACTTTACAACGTGGAAATTTAGTGTTAAGACGTATCTGGAACATGAAGACTTATGGAAATGTGTGGAGACCAAAGATGACAAACCTATCGATTATAGTAAAGATGTAAAGGCAAAATCCAAGTTGATATTACTATTAGATCCTCAAAACTATGTACATGTACAAAGTTGTAAAACCGCTAAAGAAGTCTGGGATAGTCTATTACGAGCGTTTGATGACAATGGATTGACTCGAAGAGTTGGATTGTTAAAGGATTTAGTGAATACTACTCTGGAATCGAGCGGTAATGTGGAGTCATATGTAAACAAAATTATGACCACAGCTCACAAGTTACGCAACATAAGTTTTGAAGTCAACGATGAGTGGCTGGGTACCTTGATGCTGGCGGGTCTGCCCGACGTCTACACTCCGATGATTATGAGACTTGAGAGCTCTGGCGCAACAATAAGTGCTGATCTCATCAAGACCAAGCTCCTACAGGAAGTAAGATTAGCAGACACCAGTACTGCTTTGCATGTTAGCGCAAAATCAAGAAAACAATTTCAACGACAGCCACTACA